GTCCTCTACGAAGGCATCCCTCCTCTTAGGCACATAGCCCTAGTGTGCTTTGCCATTATTAAATACACCAATACTACCCCTAACCATGTAAATTTTAAAATAGACAACAGTCCTTGTGCCAGTCTGCCAGACAATAGTTGGAAAGGTGATACGCCTGTAGTATTTTTAGGTATTTCCCTGTATGCCAATAATGCATAAGGTATTTGGACATGGCAAGCACGACCTTCCTTTCTAATAATCTGATGCAACATACATTTCAAAGTCTAATTAAATCTTTCGACTAAACCATTTGACTGAGGGTACATGGATGTCGAAAATCTTGGGCTGTACCTTAATCTTTTCTCAAATTCCCATATTAAGTCATTTTTAAAATTGTTACTATTATCTGATGCAATCACAATAGGAATTCTGGTCATAGAGAAAATCTGCAGCAACACGTCGCAGGTAGTTTTTGTCTTCAGACTGGTCAATGGCACTGTCTCAGCCCATCTAGTATGCTGGTCCATGAAGCACAAAATTTTGAACTTGGAGGATCTATAGGTCCAATTAAATCTACATTGACAACCTGAAAAGGGAACCCTGGTCTTGCCACTGGTGTAATCGGCGTCCTTTCTTTTACTTTCACTGCCTTTGTGAATTGACAGCTATCACATGATTCATAAAATTTCTGGATATCTCTTTTCATGTTTTTTTAATAAAAGGAATAATGAGTCCTCTCTTATGTTTTTTTAATTCCCATGTGTCCTCAAAACACTGACGCATGTGCAAGCTCTAGAATTTCATTCCTTCTGCATTTAAGGACAACTAATTGCTCTGCTCTTTGTCCCAGAACTTTGTTTTGATGAAAAAGAAAACTGTCTCTCACAAAATAATTTCCTTTATCCACTTTCGCTTCTTTTTGACATTTTAGACAAGTCAGTGCATTCTTTAGGCAGTTGAGAAAACTCTGTCTGAGATAAATCAGTTCTTTCCCTCTCTAAGTGCCCACTGGCATCTGGGATAGCAGTTGTGTAGCTTTGAATGTCCGTTTCTGACTTATCCTGTCTGTCCCTCCCTCCCCTTATGCCCAGGGAACTCTTCGATTCACAGGACAAACCATTGATCCTTTCTTTTCCGCTAAATTGCCGATTTTTTACAACCGTTTTTAACCCCTTAATATATCTAACACCTATGAGGGTATTAAAACATCTTCAACTACAGATTTTGCCACCATGCAAAGTATCTCCTGATGAACATTTGCACTATTTCCATTAATTTAAGCTAAAGGTAATTTTATTCACTCACACCTTCTCAGCGGTCCAAATATCCTTTTCAAATAAATTGCCAATCCGCTTCCGGATCTAAATCTGGAATTATACTTTCCTTTACAACCATCATCTCACTGCCAGAATTGATTAATCCGTTACTTACCCAACCATTTATACTATCCTGCACTCTATCTAATTTGCATAATTCCTCTTCTACTGATTGTTTAGAAATTCTCTTTCTAAAACATCCCGCTTTGGCAATAATAGCTCTATTTCCTTGAGTTTTGCTAACATCCCTACCATCTACTGCACTTATTGCATTCACTTTCACAAATTTATCTTCCATATTTTTATTTTTAGGGCAATCACGTTCAAAATGTTCTTTTGACCTGCACTTGTAGCATGCGAAATTTTTCTAAGGAGAGTCTGTTTTGCCTCTGTTTGACAATGTTGAAGCCTGCTTGTCTGAGCTAAGTTTATAGCTTTCTTTTGCTTTACTTTAATCCTATATGGTGATAATCCTTCTTTAATCTCATTCTCTTTCCTATAACTCATAATGTATGATTTTTCCATTGCCAAAAAGAAAAGTAACGCATTCTCTAAATCCTTTGGTTTCCACCAATTTTCTTCCTGCTTAATACCAATATAAATAGCAGTTTCCATATCAAGCTTTTTCATTAATCTATCTGCAACTACTCTCTGATTGACAGTTTCCCAATCTGTCACTCCCCTCAATTTGCAGTAATAACTCCACTTAGAATTTAATCTTGTAGCAAATTGAGTAAAATTTTCGTCTGGATAGCCTGTTTAAAATTTTCCAGACAAGCCGGCTTTGTCTCCTAGTAAACACCTTAGATTTTAAGCTATTCACAACCTTTTCACTAGCGAGGGCCTTTTCTAGACTGTTGAAAAAAACGTAATTCCATCCTTCTGGTCTCGTTGGAACTTTCGCAGTCAGCTGTTTTATTGTTTTAACAATTTCATTTAGACTTTTAACTTTGGGCCTCATTGCTAAACCTGTTGAACTATCAGAGTTTAAACTCCAGTTTTCTGCTTCAAATCTTAATCTTTCTAAATCTATTTGTTTGCTCTTTCATTGCCAGATAGATGGGAAATGAATTATTATATTCCTTCCTGTATCATAGAGTTAATTTTTTTCACACATGGTTTCTTCAATCAATGCATAGATGACACCTTTTATTTTTACTTCCTTGTACGAAATAAAGGAAGTATTGTAATCAGGAAAAATTCCAGGTATCATATTTCAACAAAAATATCCATTTTGACTGCTACCGAATGCAATTTAACGATCTTTTTGCATGACCTCTCTGCATAAGGATAGAATAAAGGACTCTTTTCACCCAAACGAATTATAAAACTGATTTAAAATGGATTCGAAAGAAAGTTTCTGTGGCATCTGTACGTACACGTATGTATGTATCTTGCATAACTAAAAAACGAGTAGCCTCAGAACATTGAAATTTTATGCATAGGACTGCTGTAATATATGTATTCGTGCAGCTCCATTTTTTGATTGCAATCGGCTGCACCAAAAGTATATAAATATATATATACCCACTCTGTTACTTGGCTCCATGAGCTCAGTATTTTTAATCTTATATGCTGGTAAATTGTGCATTTTTTGCTTCAAAAATGATTGAATTATGTTGTTCTTATCTTCCAGTTAAGGTTTTTATGCCTTTAGTTAATCTGCATGTTATAGTTATAGAATTATCAACAATTTAAAAGTTGTTTAAGTGCGGCTAATCCTAATTTTTTTATGGAACTGCTCTTATATGTGCCCTCAGGTCACCAAATTTCTCGCCAAGCCTTTTTGGCGAGAAACTCCATGCCGCCATATTACTACCTAAATTTTTTGTCCACATTTCGAATTTTAAGTGAAGACACAATTTAAGCTAAAACAAAAACAAAAAAAAAAAGTTTCTAACCAAAAATATTTGGCCAGAATCCATCTTACAGAGCGATATGTTTTAACATCTATGAATTGCACATTCTAGGCAGCGAAGGACTCTACGAACTACGCAGACTTCACTTCAGTAAATTAACATAGTAACAATAAATTTCAAAGAATACCATGTACACAGCATTCTGTTTAAACTTAAAAAAACATCTATGAATTGCACAATCTAGGCATTGTGCACAAATCAACCAATGTTTCAGAGTAACTTCGTAATTTCTAATATAGATATTTTGAGTTTTTGTGTATTTTTGCCTTGTCGGGAAGTGAGAAATGAATTAATTGAATTAGAAATATTGAATTGTCTGTGAAAAACTGTTTCTTTTTTGTTTTGTTTGCTTAATTTCTTTTATACATCGTTTTAGATTTGTTATAGTATTCAAATAGAACATGTGGGCAATGATTAGATAATTTTTCAAATGATATAAATTTATATGCATTCTGAGTTATAATATGGACGAAATGTAATGCTGTTAAGTGAACCTAGCGCCAGAGTGTCGCTATGGTAAACAAATATAGTGAATTTTAAAAAGTGCATTTATTCTATTGTGGTTTATGCGCTATCGATGATGTAGATTTAATTCAATCCAATAAGTTTAAATGAAATGCAGGAAAAAATGCGTATAATTTAATATTCCGTGCAAGGAAGTCATGTGATGTACACATCAGATTTTTATTATTATTATTATTGCTTTCATCCAACAAACTAACCAGTAATCGCCAGTGATTGGTCCATCAAACTAAGTATTTCTCTTTTTAGACATTTTCCTTCCTCTCCTCGGATTATAGTCATTACAGTGAGATTAGTCAAAGAACATAAAATTAGAATATCCAATTAAATGCTAATATGAATTACAAATAATTCAATAACTTGAACCGTGCGTTAAAAAGTGGAATTCCTTCAAAATGGTATCCCATGCAGTTATGAACCTCTGAGTTTTCTCACATAAAATCTTTTTTTCTCTCTCTCTCTCTCTCTTTTTTTTTTTTTTTTTTTTTTTTGTTTAATATTAGCTGCTATGATATATATATATATATTGCATTAGAGAAATACTCTGCAGGTATCAACACCTACGATATATAATTTATATGTTTCAATAAAATTTTTAAATTCTGCTCTTTCTGAATTATAATAAGTTTAATTATTAGTGTATATTAAGAGAAAACTCTGTTAAACTGTACATCTGATTTTTAGTAAGTGGTAAGCTTGAGTTTTATAGTCATTATTAGAGAGATAGTATCAATTGATAAAAAATACCATGTGTAAATGCAAAATTTTTACATGGTATACATGCTAGCAAACCATTTCACACACTTGATGTTAAGCTCTTTTGTCTGGGGGAAGATTAATGTAAGCTTCTTAAACACATTTAAAATAGTCTAAATTGAGCTTGAAAGGTTAAATATATTCAACCCTCTTTTGATTTGGATCATGATAGATTTATCAGAAGTAACATCTTTGTAAGTCAAAAACCACCCGTATTTAAAAGTGTAATATTCATTTCAAAAAAGATATTGTAGTATTCAGGTAAGATTTAGGGGGAAAAAATTACTCTGGAAACAATGAGTGCAAACTTGATAGTAATGATCACTATTGCATAATCTGTATTGCAGAAGGAATATGTTTAAATTCATGCTTTATTTGGATGTTAAATTTTTTTTCATTAGGGAGGGGAAGTGCTAATTTTGAAATTTAAGTTTCTATAATACATTGAGAAATACTTGCCAGAATTTTAATAGCAGAAATTTTAATGTTTCTTTCCTTTATGTTTCAGTGAGCCTTATGATGCCACAGCAGTTATTCCATCAGTCTTAAGCATTATATGTGGTCGTGTTGCTCCTATGGATTTAGTCAGAGTACAGACACCTACAGAATGCTTTTATTCATTCCTGTCTATTGGGTGGGGATTAATGGCAGATATTGACATTGAGTCAGAAAGACTGAGAGCCATTGGAGAGGCTCGATTTGCTGTTTGGGCAGTTATACGAGCAATAGGTATGTTTAGTGTATATTTTACATCAGCTTTATTATTAAATAAGAAAGAACCTGTACATGTGTATGTTCTTCCCATTGCAGAAAATGACAGACATCTCAAAGCTTAGTTTTGAATTTTTTAAATTTAGTTCATATTTTGTACAAATTTAACGATATTTTGATTAACAAACTCAAATATTTAAAAGTGAGTAGTGGCAACACTACATGAAATAAAATATTTTTATCTCCAGTATATGAGGCTTGCCATTCGACAAAATGTAAATGCTATCTAAGCTTTATGCATGCTGGCTAACCGTTATGATGATAGATAGAAATTTGAAAGTTTTAGACATCTTAAAACAGAGAATGAAATTGTCGAATTAATGGAATTAATAAAGAAATTGGAAGAAGTGGTAGTAAATGAAGATGATGTAACTGAAGTTTTTCATTGTGATGACAGTGCTCCAATCGTCAGTCAACTGATGGACAACAAAATCTGTAATATGAGTCTAAATCCAGAAAATATCAGTACTGATAGTGAAGAAAGTAATAAAGAGTTTGTTCAGAATGAAAAGATTTTGATTGACAATTTAATAGAAATTCTCAATACGATACTTCCAACATTTGAACAACGGAACTTTCTAACTGAACAAGAAAAGTTTGTCTATCTATAGAATCAAAAAGGAAGTTTTAACACGAAAAGCATATTAACTTCAGCAACTTAAAGAAATGTTTAATAAAGCAAACTCATAAATATTGACCTTTTTTTAATGTAAATTTTGATTCACTTAAGGTCGTAAATGCTTCTTTATTTCATTAATCACTATTTCATATTTTTGGTATTATAATTTCTACATGTCATCTTACTAGATTTAGATGATGACCCAATATCTGGAAAAATTCTAAATCTGGCATCGCCAGAGTCTTGCACCGCTGCGCCCACTGCATTCCAGCCTTTCAGATTTCTTTGTTCTTGATGAAGTTGGACCTTACCTGTTTGTGGCCAAAATCGATTGAGATCTTGACAAAAACCTACGCCAAACTCAAGGTTGTTGCATTACTAATTTCATGAGTCTGGATCTCATTTAGGCATAGTTTTGAAATTGTTTACTGTTAATATATGCATAATATAATTTAATTATCAGTTGTTAATGTAACGTATTGTACTGTGATATTTGAAATTATATTTGTATTTAAAATGTTAAACTACAACTTGTTACAACATGAGCCTCAGTTAAAATTTCAAAAAGTGTGGGGGGTGCAAGCTGTAGTTTAGCCATTTGTGTTCTATACCATTAGGTTGGAAAATATACAATATCAGGCAAAGTCTATGCGTTAAGAATGCTGTATTTGTCAGTGGAATGAAACTACTATAAACTACTATAATGAAACTACATAACTACTGTAATTTAAATATTCTTTTAAAACCGAGATATTTCATGCCATTTTTACTATAATTTCTGTTTTAATTTATTGGCATTTTATTTTCAGGGCTCCGTAAATATAAAGGTAAATTATCATACTTACCTGTCCTTGGTTACAAGCCTGACCAACCAGCCAAAATCATTACCGAGCCTAAACCAAAGAGAAGCAAAACTTTAGATTCTCAACTTGCTTGGTCAGATAATCCTACTTTGGAAGAAGCAGAACAGGAGACTTTTCCTATTTTCAGATCTAAGAGTTTTGGGGCAAATGATCCTGACATCGAAGATGAGAAAAAAACTGTACGACTTCTTAAATTCAGTTACAGTGGAGAAGAATTTGTTGAATCACCACCTTTGGCTGTTATTGGTTCACTAGTTGATCAGCCGTATGTGGAAGAAAATTTGCAGAACATACCACATATTCACTGTACTGAAGGTAGAGGTGACACTGATAATTTAGAATTACAAAAAGAGGAGAGTGTTACAGAATATCTTTGTCCTCCGCTTGACAACCCAGTACCTGATGATTGGGTTGTTGTAGATGATGAATTTGTACTTGTATATGTCTGCGAGCAGACTCATATTTCCACAGATGTTCTGTTTGCACCTGATGCTAAACTTGATGATGGTATAATGTGGCTAATTATGATTAGAGCTGGTGTATCTCGAGCGCAGGTAATATATTTTTTGGCATGTCTACAAACAGGAGATCATGTTCACATTCCTTATGTTGATGTTATCCCAATCCAAGCATTCCGTTTGGAACCACATCGCACAGATAGCTTTCTGACTGTTGATGGTGAGGTCATTCCGTGTTGTACCATCCAGGCTGAAGTTTTACCATCAGTTGCAAGAGTTATGAGTCGCTAAGAACAGGGCAAAATATATTCAACAAATTTTTATTCAATTGCCAAATTTTATCACCTTTGTTGCCTTGGTAAAATTCATGAAATTTATTAAATAGAGTTTCATGTTGATTCTCATGCAGTATATTTCCTTGATTTTAATGCAGATATTTTCTCTAAATAACTGTGAAATTGTAGTGAAATTATTAGTATTGAAGAAAGAATTCTGGAAGACTTAAATGCAACAAAACTGTTACTCTAAAACAGTGTTTTAAAGTAACAGTAACACTTACATTTAATGTAACATTCAGAGGTCTATAAATTTCAGATTTAAAATCAGTGTAGTAAAATCTTTAACTTTAGTGAAAATCCAAGCTACTCCATTCAAGATACTGACAATTAACTAATAAGAATTTAATACATTTTAGGACAATACACTGTTGCAGTATGTATAGTTTTAACGTAAAAAAAAAAAAAAAAACCTCCTGCATTACTCATTTTTCATGACATTGCATTTTATGTAATTTCAGATTTTAGTGTAATTTAGTTAAAATTATTTTAGCAATTCTGTTGTGTAGGAAAGAGATGATGATCTTGACTAAATAAGAAAGGTAGCAGTATGTGCTCTTACATTTTACGAAAGGAATTTTTTATTCTTTTACAAAAAGGTGTTGGATAAGAAAACTTTCCTTTCATTTATACACCTGCTGTTCTTTTTTTATTAATCTTCATCTCTTATTGCCTTATTTTCCAAATTGTTGAAAATTTTGGCTTTTATGCATACTTGTAAAAATGAAATTGATTACAAATGAAAATGCTTCACTTTTACTAAAAAAGACTAACATTTTTAAAGTTGTTAAATTCCTGGTACTTTCTGATTATCCGCAACCTGACGAAGAGTCAGCTTGGTTTGGCTATCTTTATAGCCCATATGTATTGTTCTGTTCATAAATAATAATGAATGAAAAGAAACATTTTAAAGACATGAGAAATTACATGAAAAAAACACAAATTTGTATAGCTGATATTTACATTTTCACAATTGGTGGATACTGTTCAGCAAAATGATGGTTAAATATTAAGCATATAAATCCATGTTTATGATAATGCATCCCATGGGTTGGCTGTTATTGCATATTACTCATATATACTTAAAAATTCCCCCAAAACACAGCAGCTCTACTACACATTGAAATCGGGTGCGAATAACCGTAAAGTAATGAATTGTTTTAAAAAAGAAGCCCTTATGTACAAAAAGGTTGCATTTCTGCTCTCTACTTCTCAAGCTTTGCTGTAAAAGAGTAATAGAAACATAAGCATGTAATAATCTTTTTTAAAGTTTTTAAAAATTTTATATTTGAGCTAAAAAATGTAAAATGCTACAAAAGTCTCTGTATGATTAACTTGGAAGTTGTTTTGTAGAAGTAATTTACAAAATTAATTTTTCTGCCTTATTATTTTGTCTTCTAAATTTATGTGCCTGAATCATATCCTGTTTATTAACTTTTTCCATTTTAGAATGTAGGTCTATAGAGAGTCATGAAATGGATTTTTCACTATAAATTATTTAGGACTTTTTCAAATATTAATTTTGAAAATACCATGCTAGTATTAGGATTAAGAGAGATGGCATTAGAAAGACGTGACTCTATTTCCCTTAAAAAATTAACAATAATGCATTTTAATGAACTTCTTTTGCATTAATGCTTTATTTACTGATAAAAATTGGTATATTGAATTTAATAAATGTTTATCGTTAACATAGTTTTATGGTCTTTCTTTTAAGGACATTTTCCAGATGTAAATGGCATGATTAAATTAAAAATTAAAAAATGATGTTATTTGGTAAGTGATAATCTTTAATCTGAAAATTATGCAAGTTATTTCCTTCTATATAAAATAGGAAGTTAATAACATAGACCTCTTATTACATGTACTATATGTTACATGTTAGTACTTTGCTTGAAATGAATATCTGAACAGAATTCTGAGTATTTATTTCTGTGAGAAATATTCATTAAACGTTTGACTGCTACGTGGCGCAAAAGCACTGCGTTCATTTGTCTCAAAAACTTGCGCTGCGAGTTTCAGTATGGTTGTGAACGTAGTCTGACCTCACGCGTACTTTGTAACACCAGTGCATTCTAAAATAACTAACTGCTTCGCAGTTTTCAAGACAAATGAACACAGCGCTTTTGCGCCGTGTAGCAGTTAAATGGTTAAACTTTCTGATTTTCTGTTAGATGTATACTGATATTTTGTACAAATGTATTTCTGCATTTCATTTCATTACATATCTTGTTTTAATTTTTACACTCCAAATACAACTCTGGTGTTTCTTTTCTGCAAGGAATTTTTTTCCCCATAAAGATAGTGTAATTCTTATTATACTGTTGTTGTTTTCTTAAAAAATTGTTATTTCAAAGACTTAATCAAAAAAAAAACAAAGTTAAATAGTGATATGTGTTAAAAAATGTGTGATATGTGTCTTTGATTGTTAAATTACTTAATGAGATTTTCCAGCTGTGTTTTTTATGTTAAAAAATAATGATATTTTTTTATAACGAACAAAAATAATTTTCCCAAAGTTTTCAGCATTCATGTCATTTGTGTAAATTCTCAGTTGTTGTCTGTTTGTTGTCTTTGCAATATTTAAAGCAATATCTCTTTCTTGAGTGAACATATGATGGACAATAAATGTGTATTCTTTATAGCCTTGCAACTCTAAAATAATAAGATGAAATTATGTAAATCTAGATATACTTTTTATAGAAGTGAATTATTTTATAAGATAAAAAATATAATTATTGCAATAATAGTGGTTTTTATGATGTTTGAAGAATTTTTATCATTTTTTAAAAATGGTAATTTAAACAGAATATACTGTATAGTATGTTTTTCTATTCAGTATTTTTTTGAACAAGATACTGAAAATTTATAAATGTAGGGATAATATTTTTATTGTACCTTAGAAAACTTTTCTCATAATTAAAGCTTTACAACTGAGTGGGTAGTTTTATTTTAACCTTTAAACAAATTTCTATTTTTTAAGAATATTTCTTATTTGGTTATCAATTAATGCTCTATGAATAATTGCTTTTGCTTTGTAAATTACCAGCATAAATTAATGAGTAATTAGATTTTAAATAAACCAGATTTCACTTTTCATATAGCCTTAATATTTTTTATATTTTAGCAATTTATGTGCACCCCTTTTTCTCTTGAAATGAAGCTGTTCTTCAAAATTGCTGAATATTTAATTTTTTCAGTCAAGTTGAGGGTGAACTCAACCAAGGAATATTTCTTGTATGACACATTAAACTGTCATTTGATTTCAAACTTGTTCCCCATTCTAAATTTAATAGAAATTTGACTTTTAGTTTTATTCCCATTTGTGACTTCTAGAAGTTTTAACTGAATCAGGTACCTTTTAAGAATTCCTTTTAAATTCAATTTTTACAAAGAAAAAATATTTGTGTGTTTTACTGATACAAACTATGAATTGAAAATGGAAAGTAGTTTCCTATTTTTTTTTTTTTTTTTTTTTTCCTAAGGGACGTATTTGCCAGTTCTGTATTTTCTAATTTCGATTCTTTGTTTACCAGCAGTGACAGAATTTTGAATTCTTGTTTAGTATCACATGGATGATTTTCCTCAGTTTTCACATCAGAAATCATAATGTTTATAAAACGTTATGGTTGTGTGAACTAATATATTTAGCGAAATCTGTTAGATTTGTAATTTGGGATATTTGAAACATATGCATATTTCAAACTATCTGAAACATATAGGTCTGCAATTCATCGAGTCTTGTTTCTTTGTTAATAAAATGTAACTTAGCTATATTCATTTAATAGGAGAAACAAAAACAATTTTGCAAATTTTCATTTTTATAAATTTTTAACAGATTATTGAAAAAAGTTCTGATTTCATTATGTTTAAACATAACATTTTCCTCCCTGTGCTTGCATATTTGTAAATTATATTGAATTGCTGTAATTTTAGTACTGACAGTTATTAATCCCAGTATCCAGTCAAAATATAGACTGAATTAAAAAAATGTATCATTAAATGATATTTTAAGGGTAATATTACTTTATTAAATATCATTAAAAAAACTTTCAGGATTGTTGCTAAATAGATTTGCCTTTTGCATGCAAAAGATATTTAGTAAAGATATATGAAATGATGATAATTTAATAAATATTAATAAAATTACTTTTGGACGCAAAACTAAGTGCCTTTTAAAATTTGAAACTAGTAGAGCATGGATAATGTAATGTTTTATAGCAAGTGATATATTAATCTGAGACTTTTAAAATGATAAACTCAAATTAACATATAGGTATTTGAGAGAACTGGGTTTATAGAGTCCTTATAGTGAAATTTTAAATCAGAGTCCTTCTGAACCTGTGAGATTGATAAGCTAGTTATTGCTTTATCTAAAAATTTATGACAAAAGTGTTGAGAAGGTCTTAAGTAACCATTTTATTTAATCTTGAAATGAAGAGAAAGCACAACTTGTGTATGCAAGTAAATAGGAGTATTAAAAATAATGTACATTGAAATTTCAAATTAAAGGTTATGTAGTTGAAGATTATATAAATTGGTCTACTTCAGTTAGCTCAATATTTTTAATTGTGCATTTTATACATTTGCTGGTGAAATGGCTAAAGCTGGAATAATCATTGGCAGAGCTGGCAATATGATATAAGCTGTAGACGAGGCTGCCAAAAGTTCTAATACTAAAACCTTAATATTCATTGATTTAAATATTTAACCAACTAATTTGCATTTTGGTGAGGACTACAAAAAAAGAGAAGTTATAGTAAATGTTTAAATCATATTAATTGGTTAATTAATGTAAAGTACTCATATTAAAAATTATGCTTTATGAAAAGTAGAGCTTTCAGTATTCTTATTGTATACAGATATGATTTAGGGAAATCACATTTTGAGCAAATACATTAACTGAATTAAGCAAAAGTTTTTTTAATTAAATTTGGATTATTTATTTTGAAAATGCATAAGAAATTTTGTATGGTAACATTGGGAGAAATCTTTGTATAATGGCAGGCCAGTGCCAGAGTGAATGTGGCTGCATGAGGCAACAAAATATTTAGCATTTAGAG